CCATTTTGCTACTGGGTTGTTTACCTTTTTCTTGTTGAGGTGCTGGAGTATTCTATAAATTTTAGATTTAAGTTCCTTATGAAGTATGTCATTGCCAAGTATTTTACCCAGTCTGTTTGTTTCCTTTTTACCCCATTGGAGAAATTTTTTTATGTGCATAGATATTTGATTCTTAGAAGGTCCCATTCATGAATTTTATTCTCTCCCGGTTGTAGGTTTTTCATTGTGCTTGGCAATCTACAAGTCCAATGCAGCTTCAATACAGATACCAAATTTTTCAACGAGATAGAAAAGCAACTTCCAATTTTATCTAGAGTGAAAATGTTGTTGTTGTTAATTGACATCGAGTTGTAGGAGACTCATAGTGACCCTATGAATGAAAGATCTGAACACTTGTGTAACTTTCATTGTTTCTCCAAGTTCATACAGTTTCCGGAGGCAAGTTATTTTGGAAGTGGATGCCACTCCTGCTTCCAACCTTGTTTTACTTGGGGAGCTCCCCCAAACACTGTCTAATAAAGTCTGAATAAGCAAAGCACTACTGGAAAAGAGAAAAAAAGGTAGGAGGGATCTTATTCCCTGATTTCAAGTCCTACTATACAGCTATGATGTTCAAGACAGCATGGTATTGGTACAGGAACAGACACATAGATCAATGGAATAGAATTGAGAACCCAGAAATCAGCTAATCTACCTATAGTCAACTGATTTTTGACAAGGAGGTGAAATCAGTGAAGTGGGGGGAGTGATAGACTTTTAAACAAATGGTGTTGGCAAAATTAAAAAACCGTCTCACACTTCACATCATACACAAAAACCAACTCAAAGTGAATCAGAGACCTAGGGGTAAAACCAAAAGCTATAAAATTCATCAGAGAAAAACCAAGAACAACTCTAGAAACCTTAATCCACAGAATGAATTCTGTATATTTTATGTATTTTTTAGTGCTGCACGCTTCTTTATTGTGTCAATGTACCATAGTTTCTTGAGCAGATGCCTTCTTTTTGCTATAATAAACAATGCTGAAATTAATATACACAATTAAAATATTCTCACATGTGATATACCTTTTTGGTCTCAGCTAATAATTTTGTTGTAACACTATAATAAGCTTCTCAATAAATTTTGAACATACAATCAAAACAGTGGGACCAAAGCATTAAGCGTTTTACTCAACTATTGTTGATAGTGGCAATTCTCATAGTGATTTCCATCTGATTTTCTTTATGGGCTATAAATCTTTAAAGGAGGAGATTGTCAACATTTCTCTCTAGACAATGATGACAGATGTGAAAAAAGACAATGATGTTATGAAAGCAGCTCAATGAGTTATGAACTATGTCACTAGCACTCCTTACTAGACAAGGTTTATGTGGAAAAACAGAAGATACTCCTTGTAGATTAGACATTAAAACCTTGAATAAGAGAACTAAAGGCTTTCACTGCCCTTAGTAGGAACAGTTAAGAAATCAAAGATCAGAGAAGCTATTGCTAGTAATCTCAGTTTGCATCACTGAGGAGTTTGGCAGCCCAGAACTTTTTTGTTAAGCTCTATGGAGATTTTTGGTAATAATCTACAGGAAGATCCTACAAGAGATCTTACAGCTTGCAGAAGCAAAGTAAATAAATATCAAGAAGCAGCCACCAATCATCTCAAGTGCTTGTAAAACAAAAGAGGATAATGAACAGGGATTTAACAAGAAGCTACCATGAACCTCATGTTTACCGTCTGCTGGCACATTTTATCTATAGCTTCTCTTTGTTACCTTTTCCTATTGCCACTTAAGTACTAGTGGACTCTAATCTAAACCTAAGAGCTTTTAGTTTCTCTTCTGAGATGCTCAAGAGATCATAAAATGGGGAGCAAAGAGATTAAATTGACAATGGACAATTATGTGTGTTTCAGTGTTTAAAAATAATGTTTTTCTTCTGATTTCTCCATCCTCTAACAATGTAGTCCCTAAAATTCATAATAGTATTAGTCGAGTGAAACCTAGAGATCTCAGCAAGTGATTAAAGTACAGTTGAATTAATCCTTGTTCGACCATGTCAACTTGAAAGCTATTTCTAGTTGATTCTACATTCCCAAATGACTAACACACAAGAAGCTGAAGTAACAGGTAATTGTATCTTAAAATTCCATTTTTGCATAGGGAAAATAGAAAATATTCATCTTCAAGTATGCTGTTATTGTTAATTGCCATTGAATACACTGTTGATTCATTGTAACCCTATAAACAGTGGACCTGAACCTTGTCCTACTCTATACTACCATCACCATCTCTAATAAACTTGAGCCCATTGTTACAGTCACTATGTCCATACCTTTTGTTTAGTCTTCCTCTCTTATATCCTCCACCTTAGTCAACATGATGTCCTTATCCAAGGACTGGCTCCTTCTAACTATATGATCAAAATATGAGACAAAGTTTCACCTTTCTTGCCTCCAAGTAACACTCGTCTTGAATTTTCTCCAAGATAGACATATTTGTTCTTTGATTAATCTATGGAATATTCAGTACTCTTCTCCAACACCTCAACTCAAAAGCATCAATTCTTTTTCTGTAATTCTTAGACATTGTCCAATTTGCAGATGCATAACAAGTAGAAAAAGACCATAGCTTGGATCATGCATGCATAATTTGTTTTCTCAAACTCCTGTTTGTTGTTATATGTTATCAAGCTGCTTGTGACTCATAGTGATCCTATGAACAACAGCTCTGAACCATGCTTTATCTTGAGCCAAATTCATTGTCTCTGACACATCTACTCTCATTACCTTGGTCACCGAGTCAATCCATATCACCTAGGGTCTTCCTTTCCTGTGCTGTTCCTCCACTCTTCCTAGCATGATGTGCACCTTCAAGGACTGGTACCTCCTTGCAAAATGCCCAATATCAGATAGAGCTTCAAAATCCATGTCTCCAAGGAAAAGCCTGATTTCACCCTCTTCAGGATGGACCTGTTTGTTCTCTTAGCTCTCCATTGTATATTCAATACTCTTCTCTAGTACCACAACTCAAAGCATCTACTCTTCTGTCATCTTTAGTCCTTGTCCAGCTCTCAGATGCATAGCAAGTAATTGAGAAGACCATGACCTGGATCAGGCATACCTTAATCTCTAGACTGAAATCATTGCTCTTCAGGGCTCTGGAGAGTCCCTGATAGCAGATTTTCCCAGTGCAATTTATCTTTTGACTTCCTGGCTGCAGGTACCAAGAGTGTTGATTGTGGAGCCAAGCAAACTGAAGCTGTTAACTCTCAATCTCTTCACCTTCTATCATGACACTGCCAATTGGCCCACTTCTGAAAACCTTCGTTTTCTTGATATTCAGCTTCAATCCATATTGAAGGCTGCAGTACTTGACCTTCGGCAGCAAATGCCTCAGATCTTCCTCAGTTTCGGAAGCAAGGTTGTGTCATCTGCATAATGCATAACCCTGAGCCACATTCCTCCTCCTAGAGGCCAGCCTTCTGGATTATCTGTTCTGCATATAGATTTAAAAGGTATGGAGATAGGTAGGACACATCCATGGCGCACACTTTTCCTAATTTTGAACCATGCAGTGTTTCCCTGTTCTGTTGTGACAACTGCCTTCTGGTTTCAAGTTTCACGTAAGTACGATCAAGTGTTGTGGGATTCTCATTCTTCTAAGAGTGAGAAACAGTTTGTTGTGATCCACACAGTCAAATGTCTTTGCATAGACAATGCAACACAGACAGACATTCCTCGGGTACTCTGCTTTCAACTAAGAACCATCTAACATTGGCTATAGTATCCCTAGGGCCATGGCCTCTTCTAAACCCAGTCTGTACATCTGGCAGTTCTCTGTTGATGTGCTGTTCAAGTAATTTTTGGATCATTTTCACCACTTTCTTGCTTGCATGTGATTTTTTTAAATTATTATTTTGTGTGTGTGTGTACCATCAAATCAGGTCTGACTGGTACAGGAGGAAATTGTCCCTCCTTCTCCAGCAGAGCATATGGTGGATTTGAGCTGCTCACCTCTGGGATTGCAGTGCAATTTCTTGCCTCTAGGCCACCAGAGCTCGATTGCATGTGATATTATTGATCTTCTTTGATAATTCCACAATCTGTTGGGTCATCTTTTCTTGTAATGAAAACAAGTGGAGATCTCTTCCAGTCAGATGGCTAGGTTTGTTGGCCTCCAGATTTCTTGACATAACTTTGTGAGAGCATTCAGGGCAACATCCGTTTGTTGAAATATGTCAATTGGTATGCTGTCAATTTCTGGGCCTTGTGTTTTGGCAATTCCTTCAGAGCAGCTCCAACTTCCTCCTTCAACATAGGCTCTTGATCATGTATTGTTTCATGAAATTCTTAAACTTTTAAGCAAAATATATTTTAAAACTTTTCTATCTTGGCTATATTGTTTCTATTATTGTTTCATCTTTTAAAAAATATTTGCTTTATTTTGGCTATTAAAGCATATTTGAATAAATGTATGTTGTTGTCTTTGCCATCAAATCATATATGTTGTGTTTGTTATGTGATACACACATATATGCATACCTACACAGGTACATGTGTTGGCCTAGGGATAAAGAGTTGCACTACCAGCTCCAGAGCTGTTGTTGTCATTGTTGGGTGCCATTGAGGTGACTATAACTTACAGATAACCTATGAACTAGAGTCTGAACTTTTCCCTATTTTGTACCCACTTCACAATCTCTGATATGCTTCAGCCCATTGTTACAGTCACTGTGTCAGTTCAAATTGTTGAGGCTCTTCCTCTCTTTGATATTCTACCTGTTCCTGAATGATATCTTTTTCCAAGGACTGTCCTTCCTGACAACATGCACCAAAAAAAAAGTGATAAAATGACTCTATCCTTGCCACTCAAGAGGCCTCTGGCTTCACTTCCTCCAAAACAAAACTTGTTTGTTCTTTTGGAAGTTCATGGGATTCTCAGTCCTCTTCTCCAACAATTCAAAGGCATCAATTCTTCTCTCATCCTTATTTTTTGTCTTTCAGACAGTTGCATAAGAAGCAACTGGAAATACCCAAAAGTGGGCAATTAGAATCCACCAGTCACTATGCTGGAGAAAAATGGATAATAATCCCCCTGTGTGATTTACAGCCTCTGAAAAAATCTCTATGTCTGTTCCATCTCAAAGGCACATAATGCCACCACCACTCATGCAGACATGTATGTAGTTTTCAGTTATATCTCACACTCAAATTCATTACCATTGAGTGAGAACCAATTTGTAACTACCCCTTTCAGTAGGTTTTCTGAGGTTACAATTCTCAGTAGAGCAGACTGCCCAGTTTTTTCCTGACAAGCAGCCGGTGGATTCATAGTGTCTTTGCTTGACAGTGCAACTCCTTACCTAACTGTCCACTCTTTCTCCAATATCTCTTTCTCTATAAATCTCCCCTGTAACTTGTTGCCTTTCTAGACATTGGGCTTCACTCAAGAGAAAGGGTTACAAGAAACTCAAACAAAGCCTCCAAGGCTTATGAGCTAATGTTGAAAGTCATTAGGAGAGGAGAGTATCCGCGTGGATCGCTGTGGCGGCAGCGAGTTGAACTTTAGGAGAGCGGTGTTTTCTGCGGATTCTAAATACATCTTCTGTGTTTCTGGAGATTTTGTTAAAGTATACAGCACAGTTACGGAAGAATGTGTGCATATACTGCATGGACACAGCCAATTGGTGACTGGAATCCAGCTCAACCCCAACAACCATCTACAGGTGTCAAACTTTGAGCTGAACTTGTTTGTTGTATTCTTGTTCCTTGGATGGTACAATTAAGCTATGGGACTACATAGATGGTATTTTGATAAAGACTTACACAGTTGGGCATAAACTTCATGCGCTTTTTACTGGTAGCCATGCTGAAGAGTCTGTCTTCGTTACAATAAGTAAAGAAAGCCCAGATGTTTTTCAGCTGGTTTCAGTGAAGCTGCCCAAATCATCAGGTCAAGAAATAGAAGCTAAGGAGGTATCCTTTGTTTTGGATTATATAAACCAGTCACCCAAGTGCATTGCTTTTGGAAATGAGGGACAGTATGTGGCAGCAGTACGGGACTTCTACTTGTCTGTTTATTTTTTCAAAAAGAAAACAACATCAAGGTTTACTTTATCATCATCAAAAAATAAGAAGAATTCTAAGAATGAATTCACGTGTGTAGCATGCCACCCAAGAGAAGACTGCATAGCCACTGGTCACATGGATGGCAAAATTCGTCTCTGGAGGAATTTTCATGATGATAAGAAATACACATATACTTGTTTACATTGGCATCATGATGTGGTTATGGATTTGGCTTTTTCAGTAACAGGCAACAGTTTGCTGAGCGGTGGGCGTGAGTCTGTACTGGTGGAATGGCGAGATATAACAGAGAAGAATAAAGAGTTTCTACCCAGTTTGGGAGCAACAATTGAACATATTTCAGCCTCACCTGCAGGGGATTTGTTCTGTACTTCTCATTCTGACAATAAGATAATAGTCATTCACCGAAACCTTGAGGCCTCTGCAGTGATCCAAGGCCTAGTGAAAGACAGGAATATCCTTACTGGTTTGATGATTGATCCAAGAACTAGAGCTCTGGTTTTGAATGGAAAACCTGGCAACCTGCAGTTTTATTCTCTCCAGAGTGATAAGCAGCTGTATAATTTAGATATTATACAGCAAGAATACATCAATGAGAACCATTTGATCCAAATTGAGCTAACAAAGGCTGCATTTAGCCTCAATGGCAACTGGCTTGCAACAGTGGAAGAACGCCAAGAAAAGGCAACAGAGCTTGAATTGCATATGAAACTGTGGTCATATAATAAGAAGACACAAGGGTTTGTTCTCAACACAAAAGTCAGCATGCCACATGACGACCACATCACAGCTCTCTGTTTCTGCAATGCAGGAAAATCGGAAAACCCTACCTTAGTCACAACTAGTAAAGATGGCTACTTCAAAGTGTGGATATTAACAGATGACTCTGATATATATAAAAAGGCTGTTGGCTGGACCTGTGACTTTGTTGGTAGTTACCACAAATACCAAGCAACTAACTGTTGTTTCTCGGAAGACGGCTCTTTACTTGCAATTAGTTTTGAGGAAATAGTCACAATATGGGATTCAGAGACATGGGAGCTAAAGTGTACATTTTGCCAACGAGCTGGGAAAATAAGGCACCTTTGCTTTGGGCGACTGATGTGCTCTAAGTATCTTCTTGGTGCTACAGAAAACGACCTCCTTTGCTGTTGGAATCTGCTCAGTTGTACACTGGAATGGAGTACAAAACTGGATGTTAGAGTCATGGAGCCTGATCCGAATTCAGAGAACATTGCCGCTGTCTCTTGGTCTTCAGTGGGTTCAGACTTGTTTGTATTTAAACCTAGTGAGCCAAGGCCACTGTATATTCAGAAGACTATCTCCAGAGAGGAAGTCCTCTGGGGCGTGTTCGTGCCACGAGATGTCCCAGAATCGTACAACTCAGGAGCTTACCGGTGGCTGAACAGATCCCAGTTTTACTTCCTCACAAGATCACAGACTTTATTGACATTCAGTGCAAAGTCTCCAGAAGAGAAACTCACACCAACAAGCAAGCAGCTGCTTGCAGAAGATAGTCTTCCAGCAACCCCATTTTATTTCATTTTGGGAAAACACAGGCAACCGCAGGATGAAAAATTAAATGATACTTTGGGAAATGAGTTGATACAACTACCATTAACAGAAAACATACCTGCAATTAGTGAGCTTCTTCATACTCCAGCCCATGTACTACCATCTGCTTCTTTTCTGTGCTCCATGTTTGTAAATTCATTGCTGCTATCTAAGGAGACTAAGAGAGCTGAAGAAATTCCTGATGATGTAGATATGGAAGAAGAAAAAGAAAATGACAGTTCAGATGAAGAAAATGATTTTACTGAAAATATCCAGGATACAAACAACATAGATTTGGGAGAAGATATAAATCAGTTGTCAAAATCTGAAGAAAAAGAACTGAGAAAATTAAGGAAAATCGACTATAGTTGGAACAGAGCTTTAAGCAGTGCTGCTGAGTCTTGCACTTTTGGGTATATTTGGTTGTATGTTGGTACTTCCAAATAATCTTTTGTAATGTTAAAAAAAAAAAAAGAAAGTCATTAGGAACCATTTTTGCAACAATAGTCAACATTCTAAAACCCAGGTGTATTTATAAGAGGCAAGAGAAACATATACAGACATAAAAGGAAGCCATCTTGGTGGAAGGTACAAGAATCTATTTGGGGATATTTACAAGTAAGTGCACATATATGTAGAGATAAACACATATTTTTGCTGAAGTCAGATGGATCTTGGCTGAAAGCAGAGAAAACCAGAAGGATAACCAGTTGTGTTTCATAGATTATGCAAATCCTCAGACCATAACAAAATATGGCTAACTCTGAGAAGAATCGGAATCTCATTCTTAGTAGTGATCATGAAAAAACGATATCTAGACTATGAAGTGGTTGTCTGAACAGAGTTAAGAGAGTACTGCATGGTCTAAAATAAAGAAAGATGTTCTGCAAGACTGCATCCTTTCTTCATTGCTATTCAAGCTGTATACCAAGAAAATAATTAGAAAGGCTAGACTTTATGAAGAAGTCATGTAGCATCAGAATTGGAGGAAGGCTCATCAACAACTTGCATTATTCAGATGACACAACCTTGCTTGCTGAAAGCAAGAGAACGTGAATGATTTGCTGCAGAAGGTCAAAGACTAGAGCCTTCAGTAAGAGTTACATATAAACATGAAGAAGATAAAAATCCTTACTCTTTGGCCAATAGGTAACAT